TAGGCAGACCCAGCTTCGAGGAAGAGATCAATCGTCGAATCCGACTCGGTTGGGCAGCTTTCGGGAAGCTCCGGGACGTTATTCTCGTCCGCAATACCGCAGTCCTTGAAGACAAAAGTATTCGAGCTGTGCGTGTTGCCAGCGATGACCTACGGCTCTGAGTCACTGGTCACTTACCATGGGCCTCATAATAAAGTCAAATTCACCCAACGAGACATGGAGCGAGCAATACTCGGTATTTCTCTACGTGATCGAATCAGAAATAAGGAGATCCGTAGAAGAACGAAGAACGAAGCCCAAAGCATTAGCAATTTGAAGTGGCAGTGGGCAGGGCACATAGCTCGTAGAACAGATGGCCGTTGGGGCAGAAAGGTTCTTGAATGGAGACTACGAACCGGAAGGCGTTCAGTGGGACGGCCCCCTACTAGATGGACGGTAAACTTGGTAAAAACTGGGCGGCGGGTAACCGACGGATGCACGTCGCGTCCGATCGGCTGGTCTGGAAACCTTTGGGAGAGGCCTGTGTTCAACAGTGGACGTCTTCCGGCTGATATGATGATGATGATGATGTTTTTGTTTCGTGAACAAAGCGAAGACTGAACGCGACAGCATCAAGTTAAATAAACCGCGAGATGTTTTATTTACAAATTAATGTATCCGTCCCATTTATAACCGTTGTTACATTAAAACGTTTTATCAAAAAAGTTCGTGGAAAGCTCTGTGCAAATATGATAATTGACACAGTCCTTTCCACAAACTTTTTTGCGAATATGACTGTTTCATGAATTCCTTGTAAGAAAATATATTTTTAAGACATTGTAAGCGCGCATGCCAACATTTTTAACTGAAGACTATACAGACAAAGTGCAGTGCCACAAGATTGATATTTTGAGATAATGCAATTTTCACTTTTGCGGTGAATTTGTATTTTTAGAAAGGATTTTTGTTTTTTTCAATCGCTTGTATCTTAGTGACTAATTTCCATCTAAATTGACTTATTTATTTCAGTAACTGAACTAACAATAACTATAAAAACAGCAAGCACGCCTTGACGGTAAGGAAAAAGCTTTGTTATAATAATAAATCACTAAAATCAACTTTATGCTAAATTTTAAAGAGAGATCGTACGTTTTAGGTATCTGAAGATGTATTCTAGCTATAAAACAAAAATGACAATAAAAGAGAGTCAAGTGAAATTGGGGTAGACGGTAATGGCAACCCATATCGCGACTTGTTTTTAATGTGGTCTCAATAAATAGCTTTATGTTCTTGTTTTTATTTTACGCAGCAATTTAATATTGTTTCATCCTAAAGTTTTGTAGTCAGTCATCCCAGTTCCGCCATGTTAGAATATTCGTCCGTCTGTCTTTATTTTGTAAACAATCACTCATTTGATCGTTATTATGTTTTATTACTACCAAAGCAACATAGGGGTGTGTACTGATCTGGCGAATGCGCCGCGAACGCGCTGCATGTGTGCTGCGTGCGCGCTGCACGCTTGCTGCATGCGTGCAGTTAAATAACGTGTAATAGATGTGGCACGCGAACGGCACACGAACAGATCGCACTACGTAATGCACGTGCGCAGCTTGCGAGCCTTTCGCAAACAGGTGCATTTGTGGCGCCAGATTCGTACGCACTCTAAAAGTTATTCGTATTTCTAATGTTACGAAATGAATAGGTTTTATAAACACGTGATCAGTTTTCTGTCATAGTGGACGGCGAAGTAACCTCTGTAAAAGCTATCAAAACAGTATCCTTTGAACAGTAAGCAGTTTAATGTACTGTTGTTTAATATTTAATGTACTGTGCATAGGAGACCGGGTTGTCTACGTGAGGTAGATAGGTATTCTTTATCTTTTGAGATTATTTTTTATTTTGTCTCTTTAGTTATGTTAAAGGCAAATGGTAGTTCTGCCCCTCAACACGAAATATCATGATTGACTTTAGAGATATGCTTGCGATTTGTATAAAGTTTACAAACTATTTACTTAATAGCCGTCACATCTATTCAGACGTATAATCTGTTTCGGGCCAATTTAAATTCTCTTGTCGTCTTTTGGGACGGATTTGTGCTATAAACAGTTTTGGTTAAATTAGCGAATAATTTTGTTATAAACAACACTTAATTGCTTAACATAATTAAGAACAGCTTTTTCCTGATAAACGGAAAATGTACGTACTGACTAACTTAAATGAAATCCGCTCTTAAATAACTATGTTCTTAATTGTACTTATGTTTGATTTAATTTTTGTATTTATCAGAAGATATAAGAAGATTATTTAATTATATAACAGATCAGTACAACCTACATGGATACCACTTTATCCTTTATAAAATTAATGCCAACTAAATATGTATTATTAAAAACTAAAAGATCCAAATCTACTTACTTACTTGTAAAATAGGAAATTTATAACCGCACTTATAAAGAAACTGCTCCATGAACTATTTAATTATGTATGTACAATTTTTATTGCACCAAATAAACACAAAATAAATATTAATAGTACAGAAGGCGAGCAAAGGTGCACTTATCAACAATGCAGTAACGGCAAAAGTCATAAGCGGGCAACGGCATACAAGAGAATAAGGGAGAACTATCACAAACCACCAGATAAATAAAAAAAATACCGTTACTTACATAATTTTTACAAAATTTTTTGGTAGCAGTAGAGCTGTGAAGGAGTGTGAAGGAGTTCGTCCAAGGAAGTACTGCCACTTTGTCTATTTCTGCCGCCAAGCAGTAATGTCAACATTTCGGTGTTCCAGATTTGAAGGGTAAGGGTGCTGGTGAAATTACCGGCACATGAGACTTGTCAACTGATGTCTCAGGGTGACGGGCGCAGTGGCAATGCCCCTCAGATCTTTGCGATTTAAGCTCTGAGTGGCACTGCAACTGTTATAGACAGGCGTGTCGCTTACCATCAGGCGCATGTCTTATTCGTCCCGTCACATGATATTCTATAAAAAAATAAGTATTAGAAATACATAGATTATATAACGAATAATAAACAACATTAATATACATACACATAAATATATGCATACGTAAATGTCTAAATATGAAATACGATTAATTAATTTTCTATAGTTTTTATAATACCTTACCCCAATCGCATATTGTAACCAGCACCAAGTACATTTCCTGAATAGCATTTAAGCATCGTCGTTTTATCTAAGATCCACATGAATATTTCGATTCACATCGCTCCCGAGATTAGGGTACGTACGACGTATGCTCAAAGACAATTTATAAAATTATCTACCTATCTATACAACCTTGTGAACAAAGAAACCAGTATTTATTGTAAAACTTCCCGGGAATGTAAAAAAATACTAGGGGATTGGCTAAAAATAAAAACGTATGATGACATTGAGGCTCTAATAAGGATTGGTGAGTAACCTCCTAAAATAAATAAATAAATGCATAATAAATTAAATCAATATTTATTTACACAACCAGATATGTAGTACTTATACGTTCTGCTACACACGCAAGCACACACATACACACGCATACACACTCATACAAACACACACACACACACACACACACACACACACACACACACACACACAGAGAGAGAGACTTAAAAAAAAATATTGTAACCCTGAAGAGCGGGGCTTCTAACACAAGTAACTTCTACTTACAAGTAGCCCCAACAATGGATACTGTAATTACTTTTATCTAGTAAATAAATGCTTTTTTTTTACATTACCTTATGAAAATACAGTAGACGAATAATCGAGAAATCAACATCTCAAAAACGGAAAATAAATGTGCTAACACTCAGTGTCGGAAGTACGCGGCAAGACAAATGTTCTGCTCCAAAGCGAATATGAGAATAACAAGCAACTCAATTAATTGAGCGTTGTTCTTGTCCGATTGCCTGCGCAGCAGTATCGCGACCTGAGGTTCCTCGGGGCTTTGTAGCGGAACATATTTCGTGGTTGAGAAGTTTTCGTAAAGTGTTGTGAGATATTAAAACTAAGTAGAACATCTCCAGTCTACGCAGCACTAGTAGTCGCAAGTTGTAGTAATATTATTACAAGTCTACCTGACGTTATCCGAAAATCTGATTAACTTCTATGTAAAGTTAACGGCTCCTTGGAACCTACACAATTTAATAGACACTATTACTTGCTTTACATTTTCATTAGATGTAGAACTGTCCTAGAATTCGACTTCTCACATTCAGTAGATTGAGTGCCGTACGAATTCCCTTGGAAATACCGCTATGCTCTACCCCTTTGACCTAATTATTCATTTGGTGCGTCAAAACACCCTCTCCGTCAGCCTTAGGGGAAGAAAAAGGTTCGCACAACGCCTAACACCCTATCAAACTCCCATCTTGGCTATAATGCAACTTGCCGGTGACCGTAATAATCATACATGTAGGAAATGGTAGTAGTAAATTTGTGCTCTACAGACGAAAAACGTTGATAACGTATGGTAACGTAACGTATGTGTATTGCACGTATTTCAATTCAAATTTATGTCAAAGAAGAGGCATCTAAATTTACTATTAGGTCTGGATCAAAGTACGTAATGTAATTGTATATATTACAAGTTTACTACTTCAAGCCGAACATGCCACTTGTTAGCGTTCAGCATTGGTTGCAAGAATTGTTGATTTAAACCATATTTCGAATACAGTTAATTGGGTGCTAATTGTCAAATAAAGCGCTGAGAAAGCATTACCAAAGCCTGTTTCACAGCATTCCTTTTGCCCAACTTTGCGCGAATGTAGAAAGCTACATACCGATACACGCAATAAAACAAATTTCCTCCCTTTTATAAATTATACATATGAGTCGTCAAAACATTGTTATAATTGAATAAGCAAGGATTGACAAAACAGATATTTGTTGAATTGTTCACCAGCTTGAGTATCAATTCTGTATATATATATATCATTACATCACATATATATCATAGTCATTTACTTACCGATGTATTCGCCAATTGAATGTTTAATAAGCCATTTACTTCCAGATATATGCCATGGTGTGCGTAATATCGCAGTTTCAAGAATATCTCGCTGGGCGCGGAACGGCCGCCTTCGATTCAGACAGGGTAAGTTGTTGATTACGCATACACATTAATAGTACATTGCTTTGTTGCGGTGGAAAGTTGACACTTCAAGCGCAAACCGCAGGCGAGGGCTTAAACTTCACGAGTTTATAGTAAATAACCTTGACGCTTTTCGACATGTTATCACACAAACATTTTATTGAGTTGTAATTTGTAACACATTTAATTGCCTGTAAATTTACGCGGCAAGAGAATATCTTTTCTAATTGGCGCTTAATTTACGACATCGGGCAGGGTAAATTCCATTATATCCGCGTAATGACTTCAACTATACAATATTTATGTTTATTACAAAGAAATAACAATGTTTCAAAACAATTTTACGAAAATGTCGGGTTTTGTAATTTTGCATGTTTCGAGGTTCATTCATTATTGAAACAAAATTAAAAATCTTCAACATATTTCGCCTTACAATTTGTTTTTTATAAAATATCTTAAATTAACTAATTTGGACAGAATTTTACTTGCTTGTTGCATAATGGACTCCCAAAGATACAAAAACGTATATATCATCGGTATTTTGTGGAAAGGGTGAAATAGCCACTTCGATATTGTTTTCAAGGGAGCATGTTTTAGTTTTTCACGACTTTTTAAAATATTTCCGTCCTGTTTTAAATTCAGTTTTGTGCCGACACACATTCCCCATCCCATCTCCAGCACACCAGTACTGGGACCTCGGCTCCGACTAACTATTTACAGGCTTTGTAGTCGAAAGCCTTGGCTCGTGAGGCCCCGGCGCCCTTCATCAGTATAAAATTTTATACAAAAACTGCCTGGGAAACCCAAGTACCTGCAGCTACCTTTCCCAACGCATTAGCATAGCCATACAAAGGGGGAACCCTGTCAGGGCCCAATTTTACACATATAATTTAATTCTAGTTTTAGTTTCTACCTGTATAATTCAATTTGTCTAATATATTTTAAAACCTTAACTTATTTAAAACTGACATTGAATTTTAAAACAGGATGTAAATATTATAAAGTACTCGTTAAAATGTAAAACTTACTCCCCTGAAAAATGTTTGTAAATGCCACCTTCGCCCTTTGTACAAAAATACCGACGATATAGTAAAAACATTCATTCATACCTACCCTTCAAGCCCTTTTCCCTCAATACACTTCTAAATTAGACATTTAAAAAGAAAATACTTTTCCGCTCGAGTGTGAAAAGTAAATGCTTTTTCCACTAGCGTCTAAAAGTACCACTTTCCACATGCTACAATAATTTAGATCATTTTAACTAGCACATAAATGAACGAAATACGTTGACTATTTTAGACGCTAATAAAGACTGCTTGATATGTCTTAAAAACATGCAATTCAGGCGTATATTTATTTATTCCTGGTATTTTATTTGGTTCTTTGAAGTAATAGTGAATCTTCTTTGTATTTCCCTGTCAAGTTTCAATTAAAGTTTCCGGTGCGAAACATTAGAGACTTGCGTTGTGATTTGCGGCAAAAACAAATTCGTCCCTAGGTACTTGCCGCGCAAAAGTTCGTGAAGTTTTTTCGACTTTCGCGCAACTTTGGGAGTTACATTTGGCTAACCCACTATTAAATTCTGATTCAGAGCGTTTTTTTTTGTCGTGGATTTTTTTCCTAAACGAGGAAGTCATATACGCGAAAACAGTCGGAGTTTGGGCATATCGTAAGAATTCATTTCCTTCGCCATTTGACTGTTCTGATTAAATAAACTTTTTTATCGGCAATCTGTGCTTCGATTTTGGTGAAAAAATGTTGGGCCCAATCGCCGTTTGGGGCGTGCATCGTTTATGTTAATAAACCAATTTCCTTCCGTGTTAGTGAATTAATGTGCTACACTAACGCAACGCGAAAATGTTAAGACGATAAATTTTGTGTCTTACATTTCAACTTTTACATGATGGTACCGTAAAATAGCCTTGCAAACAATTTAGGTTGTTCGTAGCTTCAGAGGTGCAAACAAACAAGTTCGTTGTAAATAGCCTGGAGCGATACAATGCCGCTGTTACGGCACGCCCATTAGTCCTTTTCATGTGAGCCGACGTGTTAATCAATCAACCTTTGAGTATCGACGATGTTTGATACACAATGATACAGAATGCCATAGAAGTTAAAATACGTGTGTCATAACAATGATATAGATGGTATGTTTTTGTGCATAATTGTAAAGTGTGTCACAACTAATCCTACTCGTAATGTAATTAAATTGAGAGATTACCCTAATCTATTATCGTCCTTATGTTCTTTCATTACACTTAGTCGTTTATCCTAAACAGATGCGAGATAAATTATTATTTAAAGTTAATGTTGTTCAGTTTTATGGACTTTCAAATCCTGAAGTATTATTGGATCCTTGAACCTTGTATTTATCGCACACGGTTACAGGCTTTGTTTGCGTTTTATTATGAAATGAAATGGGATTGAAGTGTCTAAGAATGTTTTTTTCCGATCTAGATAGCTGAATTTGTGAAAAACAAAATGCTTTCGATTCAATTCAATGGTTACTTCGCTAATTGTACGCCAAAGCTTTCGAATAACGTCGCCTGTTTCGTATTCAGAATATTTGATTTTGGTGCCCTTGCAAATTCACCTCTTCCCTTATATTACAATAAGATACGAAGATTTTATTAAATTGTCTTTTGTATAAAATGTGACTGTTATGAAATGTTTGCGAGTTTGTAAATAAAAGCGGTGTTTCATTCATATTGCCACGTTTAAATGTGAAATATATGCTTTATTGTATACATCTACTACATTATATACCCGTCCCGTGTGACATAGGTATGTTAGTATACTGTATAAGTTAATTTTAGTTCTCATTACTAGATGGTGGCTGTCCAATACACGGCAACGGCCCAGCACACGACGACCACTAGCTCGGCGCCCAGTGGTCGCCGACGATCCGCTGGCAAGCCCACACCAAGCCGCTTCGACCCTGAAGAGTTCTCAGAAGCCCCCACAAAAGTAATCAGTAAGTATTGGCCTTGTAAAAGCCAACGCCTAAATTTGGACCGTCACTGTGCTGCACAATTTGAGGAAGTAATTTCCTTTTCTGATGGACGATCATTGATGCCAAAAGCAATTTGTCAAGCTATGGAACTTCAATGATAGTACTATATTAGTCATTCTGTGGTAAGTAGTATAGTCATGTACATTAACACATATACGCAAAGCGAAATATAAACGGAATAGACTCCGAAGTTATTTATCGCAAATTCATTGTGAGTCGAAAACAAAACTAACAAAAAAATTGACAAATTTTCACCGAATCATAAATGATTAATATATGAGTATGCTTTTTAAGCACGTAGTTATGAATTCGCATATCGAAGTCAAAGTCAAAGTCAAACAATGTTTATTTCAAAGGTAAGCAAATTACACTTGAAATCGTCATACTGATTAAACTCTACTGCTCATTCGTAATGCAGATTCCCCTGAGAAGAATGAGCAAGGAACTCTAGGAGTTGCTCTTTATAAACATACATTTGAACACGTTTATCATTACAATATTTAAACATCTTAGTTCGAGACTACCTGCAAGAGATAAACGGGTCACTACCACGGATTTTTGTCATCCAAGTACGCAGAAGCTTTAGTTTGTAGGTTTGTTTCACTATAGTTTAAACCTCGTAAATGGTCAATTTTAAATATCTGTCGGAATCTTACTAAAGAAGCGCATAACATTGACTCTTAAATGAATTTGCGACTTTATGAAGAAGAACAGAACATAAGTAAAAATTGTAAGTTACGAGATCGAAGTGTTAGGATTGCTCCAACGTGATGGGAGACTGAGGAATGAAACGTTACACGAATATTGCCACTTCACCTTAGTACACCTTTTAGGTTAATCCATAGTCAATTGTGAATTGATTTATATTTACAACTTATAAAGTTAATACTACAATATTACGGGCATAGCACATAATTCTAAAAGATGGTTCATTCAATATTCGTTTAATCGGCTCCGATAGCAAACATTTGGGTCAACAAATTCCCTTTTCTTGTTAGCTTGGGAAAATATTATCCAAACAAAACTTCCGTTTCTGACTTGTCACTGTCTGCCAATCATTGTGCTGATAATCGATAATCTATTTACCTAAAGCAACGTCTCCAAAAGAAAAATTGATTTTACATAAAGTTCTCGATAAGGTTAACACTTTCTAGTTTTTCTCACAGTGGGTATCCAATGTCTGCTTTCTCACGAAATGGTATTGCAACAGCACGTTTCTTTTTATATTTATAATATCAAGTAACGGGACGAACAGGTTGTGCGCCTTGTGGTAAGTTCGTGCTGTAGATATTATTGGAACCCCTAATATACTTCAGAAGAATGAGGTTCATGAAGGAAATCGTGTCTAAATAAAGTTTGTGACGTTGCATGAAATAGGCTAATTTATTGCTTAGCATATACACAGTCACGTTTTAGTATCTAATGGAGTAAATGTTGCTTAAGCCTCGGTTAATATCGCGTTAATTCGCCATTATCTACATATTCCAAAGAGCCTTTGAAATATTAAGCACTACAATTCGATAGTTTGGTGTAGCAAAAGGTTAATGTTTACTCAACACACGTCCAATCAATTACCCAGTCTCAGTCAACAATTTTATTTGTTAATGTGTCCTCTTTCGCCATTATCTTGGCCATTAAGGGCTAAATTGAAACGTGGATTATGATAACAATAATGTGGATAGTTGCGGAAACTGTTTTCTATTGAATGTAAAGGTTTCACCAAACCGGTAATTTTACTCACATTACATTATTAATCACGCTGGCGCTGGTATGATCACTTTTACGCTCTAACTTCTATTGACGAATGGCTATTCCGACCTGCATAGGTCGAGAACACGTCGGCTGGTTTGGTAGAACCCTAACCACCAAACACACGGGGCTATCAATCACTACTGTTGAGTAATGCGTATGAATAAACGTATCGACTTCTAATTATTGACACAAAGAACGAACATAAAAAAATTTTTGAAGGAATTTTTCTTTACTTTCGATCTTTGTATTAATTAATCTATTTATTTGTATTCAAGCTACAAAGACCCATAAATACATACCTCATAGACTAACATACATAATAATACAATAAAACACTCGTATAGTATGTACCTCAAGGACTAACATACATACATTATAATAAAACACTTTCTAACTAATCTACACGAATTGCACTTTTCGGCGACGTGTGGCGCAATCTGGTGTTAGGTAACCGGCCGCGGAATCGCCGATACTTGAGACCCTTCGGCCAAAATTCTTCCTTCATGAAGGTCGATAGATGTTCGGTCGGCACTCTCACCACAAACGAATTAAAATTTATGTTGTGGCGAGACTCCTACCGCTCGACCCTCAGGGTGTACTTGGCTTTATTTCTAATGTACTCCACTATCTCCTCAGACTTCGTGGAGTAATGCAGTCGTGACAGGTACGTCAGCGTCGTCGGTATGGCCGGACGCAGCAGGAAGTTCGGTCCTGTCGGTGCTGTACTACACTGGTTACGGCTGGTAGACTTCCTCTTCCTCTTCACCACCTTTGTGAAGCCGTCCTCTTCGCACCGGTCCGTCTACCTCTGTGGTTTTGCAACTTCAGAGACAGGCTCACGGGGATCGTTTTTGCTCTTAACCAATTGCCGCCGCTCGAGTTTCGAAGTGGCAGGTAGGCTGGTACAAGCGGCTACAGCGGCGTATGCACGTGCAGGGGCTGACATGTACACGCGTGACATTTCCGCCGGGACACAGGTGCGGGCAGCAGGGCGCGGCGCATCACGCGTCACGGCAGCAGCGATCGGTGACGCAACCATGTGTGCCGACTCGACACTGCTGATGGATGCATTTTGCGCCCCACGTCGCGTGTTTATATTAGAGGCTTCTGGTGATCTGCATACTGAAGCAGTGTTGCTTAATAACGCAACTCACTTATTGTGTTATATGAAAACTCCAATTTAAACTGAAACTCGGCCAGGCTTAACTTCACGGAAGTAACATCCTTCAGCAGCCTGGTGACATCGACGTGGTAACGTGACTGGAGGCAGCTTGTGCAGCTCCTTCGTCACGAATGTAGGCACGTCGTCCGAGTCAGTCTCCTTCAGGAGTGCGACAATATCCTGGAGACTCTTCACGCCTCCATCCCTCCGGGGAGATGGCATCTTCTCAGCTTTGCGGATGCTCTGGACAACAGCAACTTTCCACTGCAAATCTCATCCTCGTTGAAGTTTGATTTGCATATCTGTACAATGCTGACCTCATCCATAGTATCGATGGCGTGTTGGATAAACGCCAAAAGCTCATTGGCTATGAGTAGTTGGGACCCCATTGCCACTTACGCGCAGCGGCTTGATATACCGCGCGAGACTCGAATTATAATAATAATTCTCACTGTGTAGTGGAGCGGGTCCATTTCCGAACGCTCACCAAACTGCTTTCTTTAATTAGTGAAGCCGGATTACATTTACCTGACGACGTGTCGTGACTCGTCAGAACGGTATCCGTTTCATATACACAACACAAGCCGTCCCGTTTGATTGCGACATACTAATATAAATCCAACCATATTAAATGTATGAAACCGATACCGTTCTGATGCGTTGCGACACGACATGTCAGACAATTGTAAATCCAGATTGTAACAAAGTAAGTAGTGGAGTAATTTCACAAATAAATGAATATCATGGTAGATTATAATCGTATTGACTTTTGTTTAACATATCAAAATATTGATAATTTGTAGGTTCTTTGTCATCCACAAACATCGTTAGAATAATAAATAATATGTCGAAGGAAATTACACTTTCAAACCAACAACTAACATTATCTAGCATCAAATTTATTTTTTTGTGAAATTACTCCACCAGTTTACTGTTTTATTTCAATTTAAACAAGCTAAGGTGTACATTACAAAAAAGTTTAAATACCAAAAACCTAAATTAGACTTAAATTAAATGAATAAAATTGGATCCCCGCGGCAAGGTGCCCAAGATACTGGCAGCGTTCCCCCTTTGTATTGTTATGCTAATGCGTTGGGCAAGGTAGCTGCCGGCCCTTAGATTTCCCATACAGTCTATTCATTTTTTGATAAAATGTTGAAAAGAGGGGGGCACTGTCACCGCACGGACGAAGGGTTTTGACTCCAAAGGGTGTAAATAGGCGGTCAGAGCCGAGGTCCTGGTACTTGTCACTCTTCAGTCTTTCCGCTAGCTCAGCGGTGGAGCCAGCCCTTTTACTGGTGAGCTGGAGATGGTGCAAGTGTGTCGACAAATGTGACATCCCCCACAGGTGCCCGGCCCATAATCCAAGGCATGAGTGTCATTCCGTCCGGGCGTATGCCGCTTGGCTCGAGTCAAGTACAGCGGGCACGTGAACTGTGACTAAGTGTGACACCGGCGGATAATGTCGTTGAGGGCAGCGTGGCGGGAGACACGACCGGTGCTCAGCTGGCAAAAAAGACCATGGTGACCCAGAGCACTTACATCTTTGCTGAAAAAACGATGGTGTGGAGAGCAAACTGAGACAATTTGTTATAATTTATTAATACAAAGATCAAAAACAAAGAACAATTCCTTCTATCATACAGGAATCGAAGTTGCGTCTGTATACCAATCTTCGTATCTTCAGTTGCCTGTCTTAGTCTGTTGCCCTAGAATAGATACGGTAGCAATAGAGCACCTAGTGAAAGATTTTGTCCAGGGTCTATCAAATTTACTACAAAGAAGAAGATGTCGCATACTCAAACATCCATCACAAATGAGGATGATTACCTATAATGGTCACACTGGGAATGCGGATTCTTGAAGACAGATTTTGTTGCTTGTCCTGGTTTTTCTCTCACTATCATAAATTCATTTGTTTGTGGAAGCACTGTCTGCATAAAGTTTCACCATGTCCGACCAAACATTAGCCACACTGATATATTGAAGACTTAGCACTAAACTTATCAAAATTTTTTTAGAAGCAGTAGAATTCCTTGTGAATGTA